TTTCTGCTGACGCTGGTGCGTCTGAGGGTGCTGGAGCTGACGCTGTTGGAGCTGGAGGTGCGGCTGGCGCTGGTGGTGCTGCTGGGGGTACTGGTGCCGTCCTTGCTGGTTCTGGAGGCGCTACGCGGCCGAGGCCGTACTTCGTTCCGCTCCTTGAGCAGGTTCTTGGTCTCCCGCCCTCTACTGGTCCTGCTCCTCCCTTAGAGTGTCCGCAGCCTGTCCAGTCGCAGTCACAGTTACAGCCCGCCTCCCCCCTACCCGCTCCTTCTCCCTACACTGGTCCTACTGGAGGTCTTGCTGAGCGTCGTGAGCCTGTGTCTCGTCCTGCGTCGCCTGTTCGTGGTGCTCGCACTAGTGGTCGTGCTTCGCGTCCGCGTCCTCCTGCGGTCCCAGGCACACACCAGATGGCACTGCGTCCTTCCACTGCTCCTCTGCGTGTCCCGTTGCCGTCTCCTCCAGAGTCCTCTCTTCCTCTTCTTCCAGACCCTGAGTCTGACTCTCTTTGTGCTGCGAGTCCTACTTTTACGCGTCTCCTGTCCACTGTTGTCACTGACCCTTCCTTTGAGTCCACTGCAGCGTCTGCCTTGGTGGTTGAGCTTGTCAACTTCGCTACTCGCTATCGTCTAGACTACGCCACTAGTCTTGTTGCTGAGTCCGAGTCTGTCTGACCTCCGTCCGTCGGGGGTGGGTGTGCTCTTAGCACGGACGTCCTTGAGGACAGGCAAGAGGAGTTCCAGTGTCTTGTCGCTGCTTTGCCTCATCTCGTGTCCATGGTGATTGCCCCTGAGGGAGACCCGGATGCACCAGACATCCGGACTCCTCGATCGTACGTTGAGGCGATTGAGGGTCCCTAATCCTCTCAATGGCAGTCAGCCATGGATGCAGAGATGGCTTCCTGGAAGTCCACATGCACCTACGTCGACGAGGTTCCCCCTCCTGGGGCGAACATAGTCAGTGGCATGTGGATTTTCAGGGTGAAGCGGCCGCCGGGTTCTCCGCCTGTCTTCAAGGCGCGTTACGTGGCTCGAGGCTTCAGTCAGCGGCAGGGAGTTGACTACTTCAGACCTTCTCTCCCACCCCGAAGATGACCACTCTTCGGGTGCTGCTGCACATAGCCGCTCAGCGCGACTACGAGCTTCACTCTCTTGACTTCAGCACAGCTTTCCTGCAGAGCAGCCTGCACGAGGAGATCTGGCTGCGCCGCCCACCTGGCTTCACTGGGTCGTTTCCTCCTGGTACCCAGTGGAGCCTCCGGCGGCCAGTCTACGGTCTCCGCCAGGCGCCCCGTGAGTGGCACAACACACTGAGGACTACACTGGCGGCACTTGGGTTTGCTCCTTCTACTACCGACCTGTCGCTGTTTCTGCGCACCGACACCTTTTTGCCATCGTTCTAAATCCTCGTGTACGTCGACGACTTGGTTTTTGCCACTGCTGACACTGCTGGACTCGCCCACGTAAAGTCCGAGCTGCAGAAGAGACACATGTGCACAGACCTGGGTGAACAGCGCAGCTACCTTGGCTTGCAGATCACCCGGGACAGAGCACCGCGCACCATTACCCTGACTCAGTCACACATGGTGCAGCAGGTCCTTCAGCGATTCGGCTTCACGTACTCCTTGCCTCAGGCCATTCCTCTGTCTACACGCCACTCGCTCTCAACTTTGCCTTCGGATGAGTCCGTAGAGCCGAGTGGCCCGTACCCAGAGCTTGTTGGCTGCCTCATGTACGTGATGACCTGTACACGACCTGACCTTGCATACCCTCTTAGCATCTTGGCACGCTATGATGCTCCTGGGAGACACCGACCAGAGCACATGGCTGCAGCGAAGAGGGTGTTGCGTTACGTGTGCAGTACGTCAGGCATGGGGCTAGTGCTTGGAGGGCGACGTCGAGTGGTCCTCACAGGTCACGCAGACGCTTCTTGGGCTGACGACCAGCCGACACAGCGGTCGTCACAGGGTTACACCTTCAGCCTTGGCTCCGGCTCTGTTTCGTGGCGGTCTACCCGCTCGTCTTCTGTTCTCAGCTCCAGCTGTGAGGCTGAGATCTACGCGGGGGCCATGGCTGCACAGGAGCTACGCTGGCTTACCTACCTGCTGACTGACCTAGGAGAGCCGCCTCGTTCTCCTCCAGTTCTGTACGTAGACAACAAGGCCATGCTGGCCTTGTGTCGGGAGCAAAGACTGGAGCACAGAACGAAGCACATTGCTCTTCGCTACTTCCTGGCTCGTGAGCTGCAGTAGCGTGGTCAGCTCCGCCTCACCTACGTGGCCTCTAAGGCCAACACTGCTGATATCTTTACCAAGGCCCTTCCGCCTTGTGATCATCAGTGCTTCTGTGCATGCTAGGTCTTGTGCCTACTTGGCTTCACTTGCTCACTTCTTGACCTTGTTTGTACTGTACTCTTTCTATACCTGCACTTGCTTGTTTACCTTTAGATATATGATCTTGCATGTGAACTAGCCTTGTGGCCTTGCTCTTGTGCTTAGACTGTGTGGTGACGTTGTGATCCACCCTGAGCTTTCTTTGCTTTGCTTGACTGGTCTTGTGACCCCCTTGTTCTCCCCTTCTTGCCTATGGGGGTGTGTCAGGCATATATGCTATAGTCTGTGTAGGCTGTAGTGGGGCAGTTCATATGGGGTACAACACTTTAGGTTTTACTACTTGTACTCCTCATTCTGGTCAATGCACTCATTCCTCGTTTCTTATCAAAAGTCTCTAGCAACCCTGTAGGAAGATGACATTCGTCATCATCGGTTGACGAACTTCACGGGTTGACGACCTTCGTTGACCACCTCTGTCGTCCACCTTGGTCGACATTCCTAAGTGTCAGCTCCTCATTGGTCGAAATTAGGGCACATTCAAATTTCTGGCCAAAATTTGCCTTTACAGTCACAACAGTGCGCAGGGTCAGACGCGACCCTGCGCACATGAACACCCGCGAACCTCTGCACCAGCTGCACCACTTGTATATGTGCACGGGACGTCTGTGATGCACTCGCGGATGCTTTAGCTACTCTTGCATGGATTCCCTAGTACACCTCGTGGACAGGCAACCCTTGTATACCTGCATAATATCGGCTGCACCTCTTGCACACCCGACTACTAAGTCAGTTTTGCCCATGCGAGGGCGGGGCCAACTTCCTTCAACACTCCCCTTCCACGCTCACGCTTGGGCACCCTTCGCACAAGGTCCACCCAAAACCCAAGGGATAGTATACACGGGGAAAATCCTTCAGCGTGCACATAACACACAGCACGCCGCTCACCGCACCAGCCGTGCTGAAGGGCACGGCACCTACTGCTGCACATCATCGTGACCGTCGCCAGCGTCAGCCAGGCGAACTTGGCCGATCGCGACGGAGCACCGGTTGAAGGCCAGAAAGTGCAGCCCCTTTGTTAAGAGTCGGCCGGCTGCTCAGAGGTAGGGATGTACTTCAGCACAATCTTCCCGCGCTTCAACATCTGCTGCAACTAGTCATAACGTCGCTCCATGTGCTTGAGGTTGTCCTTCAGCACCAAGCTTTCCGCGACAGTGATGGCCGACTGGTTGTCCACACGAAGGACGGTCGGCGTTGCAGGACCCAACAGCTTGAACTCTGCAAGGAGGAACCAGGGTCGACGAGCCTCCTTGCCACCCTCCGTGGCCGCGACGTACTCTTACTCGGTCAAGGTGAGCGTCACGTACTTGATGCGCTGGCTCGACCATGATACTGCGGCCCCTCCGAGTACGAACACGTAGCCGCCTGTGCTCTTCCACTTCTGCTTGTCGCCTGCGTCGTCAGCGTCCACATAGCCGACCAGGCACATCGACTCTGGTCCACCGCCAAACTCCAGGGCGGTGTCACGGGTGTCAGTGAGGTAGTGCAGACAACGGTCGTCCTCACACCAATGGTTGTCGCTCCGCACCGTCAGGCTGCTTCCCAGCTTGCTGCACGCAAACGCGATGTCCGGCCTTGTCGTCGTCGCCGCGAACTGCAGCGAGCCGACCTTCTACCTGTACTCCTCGCGTGCTTGAGCATCATCGTCATCGAATGTCAGCTCCGCGTAGGCGTCGACGGAGACCGGCGTCTTCAGGATACGCCTAGTCTGCTCCTCGTCGATCAAACGCCTCCGCAGCTTGTCGGCGTATGACTCCTGGTGCAGCCACCCTTGCAGACCTGTCGCGCACGATCTCCAGCCCGAGGTACTTGTCGACCGGGCTAATCTCGCGCAGCTCAAAGGCAGTCTCCAGCAGCTCCTTCAGCATCGCGAGGCTGCTGCTAGCGGCGAGCAGGTCGTCGACGTAGATGAGCACCCAGCAGATCACTCCTCTGTCGCCGACCTTGAAATAGAGAGCCTCTTCGACTTGGCTCTTCTTCCAGCCGGCGTCCAGCAGCACTTCGTCAAGAGCCCTGTACCACAGCAGCGGCAACTGCTTTAGTCCGTAGAGGCTCTTCAACAACTTGCACACCCGGCCGGTTCCATCGTCATAATAGTCCGGCTGGTATATGTACAGCACCCTGTCCAGCTTACTTTGCAAGAAGGCATTTTTCATGTCGAGCTGCATCAAGTGCAAGTTGAGGACGGCGATGATGCTGAGGAAGATCCTCAGCGTGACGTAGCTGCTGACGGGTGCATACGTCTCATTGTAGTCAGCGCCGTAGAGCTGCGTGAAACCCTTAATGGCCAATCGTGCCTTCTCGCGAGCGACCGTATCGTCCATGTGGTACTTCGTCGTCAGCACCCACCGGTTCTTCATGATGTTTACCCCGCGCGGACGTTCGACCGGCTCTCATGTGCCGTTGGCGATGAGGCTGCGAATCTCCTCGTCCATGGCGGCCTTCACCGCCTTGCCTTTTCAGCTCGCCAGTGCCTCCTTCACTGTCATCGTCGCGATGTCCCAGAGATGCTCTGGGTCGGCGTGCACGTCGGGGTTGAGCTCGGGCAGGTCGACGTCGTCCTGCGCATCGTCAAGCAACGTGCTGTAGGAGGTCGGCGGCAGGCAAGCATGGTAGCTCACCTTCTTGCGAAGCTTGCCAAAGTTGACACGAGTGGAACGTCGCTGCGGACGCTCGGCTGCTTTGACTTCCACCACATCGCTGTCAGTGGACTGCTCCCCTGCAGACAACTCCCCTTCGTCGTCTTCGCACCCTCGTTGACGAGCTTGACATCACGTCGGCCGCTGGCGACGCGACTGGACGGTGCCATTGGCAATGTCAGCAGGCTCCCCTCGTCGCCGGTGGCTGACGAAGGTGTCGGCTCAGGCAAGTTGGCGACAAGAGGTGGTGCAGTAGGGATAGGAGGAGGAGAAGGATAGGCATCCTCGGAGTCTTCGTCAGCAGCCTCGTCGACCTTGGCAAGCAGTGAGAATGTCGCCGTCGAGGAGTCCGTCGAAGAGTGGGTCTGCGCATGTGCCGATGATGGCCCATGCGTCACCTTCCACACCTCCAGAGACATCGTCTCGTAGAAGATGGTCTCGACCGTTGTGACCAGCTTGTTGTCTGTCAGGTCGAGCACTTCCCATCCCTTACTCGCTGGCGACACACCCAGGTGTAGCCCTCAACGGGCCTTCGGCGCCAGCTTTCCACCGCGCTGCTGCTCGGGGACCATGAACTGCACCATGCAACCCCACACCCTCGCCATTGTCAGGTCGAGCTTCTTGCCCGTCAACAGCTGGTGCGGCGTCGTCCCCTGCGGAAGCGTCGATCGCTCCAAGCAGTTGCGCACCCAGACAGCATGCCGCAGGGCGAGATGCCACCAGTGGTGCTGCACGCCCATGTGCCGCAGCATCATCCGCACGGCCTCAAAGACCATCCGCATCTCCCTCTCCGCCATGCCGTTCTGCTGCGGAGTGTACGGACAGGTCAGGTCGTGGACGATGCCTTTGCCGACGAAGTCCTTCCCCAGGAACTCGCCTCCGTGGTCAAAGCGGAGCATCATCACCGACTTCTTGGTTTGCCTCTCCACGACCAGCAGCCACTGCTTAAACACTTCCAGGACGTTGCTATTCTTGGTGACTGGTCTCACCCACACGTAACACGTCTTCCGGTCCTTCAGCAGAAGAAAATGGAAGCTGCCATCCTTGGCGGCCATTCGGAACGGTCCGCACAGGTCAATGTGCACAACGGCCAGGGCCTCCTCCGCGTCCGAACCTTTGTTGGGGAAGGTGTGCCGCGCAAGTTTTCTGCCTACGCAGGAAATGCATGGCAAATCGGTCCTCGTTGATGGCTTGATGTCCAGGCCGGTGGCAACTTTGTGCTTCGCTGAGCTCGTGATGGTGTCGACGCCAACGTGCGCAAGCCTTGCGTGCCACTTGGGCAACGTCCACTTCGTTGCTGATGCGGTCATCCGCCCACCACCTCTTTTGACTTCGACGACAACTTTGTCGAGCAGGGTTGAAGGTTGGTGCAGAGAACGCGGCTGGTATAGCGTGCCCGACGGTGCACTTCCCCAGTCGCATTGATGAGCATCATCTCGTCGCTGTTGTCCTGCAACTGCACACCATTCTCCTTGAGCTGGCCGGCTGACAGCAGGTTCGCGTGTACGCCCGGGACGTAGAGCACGTCGGGGATGAGGACCTACTTCCCGGCCTCCTCTTGTGGAGCGACGGTGCCTCGGCCCTTGACGGTCTGCAGAGCCCCGTTGAAGCCACGCACATGCTTCACATTGCCGCTCGGCACCATGTCAACGAAGGCCTCCTTCGTCACCATGAGGTGGTGCGAGCAACCGCTGTTGAGCAGAACCACCAACGAATTCGGCTGCACAGCTGTAGCGACCGCTTTGAAGTCTTCGTCGGCCTCTGGCACCAGCGAAACAGTCTGCTCCACCACGGTGACCATGGAACGCGAAGCCTCTGCATCACTTTGCCCCTTTCCGCTGAAGGAGTCGACCTCCTTCGTCGATAACGTCTTCTTCGACTTTTGCTTCTCCTTGCGCGACTTCTCGTCCCGACTTTGACGAGCATTGGCCGACCTTCCGCGGCCTCCCTTATGGTCATCGTCGTCAGTATCTTCTCCGTTGAGGAAGTCATAGGAGAGGTGGTCGGCGCTTCCACAGACCCAGCACTCGTGCCGTTGACCACCGATGCCGCGACCACTGTCACAACTTGATTGCGCCCGGTCGGCGTCCTTCGCCGGCCTCCCACCTCCGCTACCACCTCCGTCAGACTTTCCGGGCTGCCCTTGCTGACGCTTCTGCTTCGTCGATGCAGTGTAATTCGTCTGCGGAAGGAGCTCCGTAGGCTGTTCAGCCTCCTGCATAGCCTCGTCTTGAAGGATGTAGCTGGTGATGGAGTCCTCGTCGAGGGACTCACGCGTGCCGGGCACCATCATCATCCTCTTCATGAGGTTGTAGTTGCTCGGTAGGCCCTTAACGATGTGGGTGATGTAGGACACCGTTGAGTATTCAGCGCCCGCCATATGCATTTCAGCCAAGATCCGTCGAGCACGGTTGCAGTAGTCCGTCGCCGACTCCTTCTCACCCATCCGAATGTGTGTCATCTTCTCCTCCAGCTGCCCGATGTACAGGTCGTCCTTCGCCTGGTACGTTGACAGGATGAAATGCCATGCTTGGTGACCAGCATCCAACCACTCTCGACAGGACCTGAGCGCCAGCTACACCACCGGTGAGCAGCACCTCGAGATTACCATGAAGGTGAGCAACTGAGCAGCACGAAACTCCCTGCGCAGCTCGACATCGTCCACGCGCAGAATTGGCACAGTGCCGTCGGCGACCTCCAGCTCAGGTTCTATCGACTCCCTCCAAGTGATGAGGTCCCGTCGACCTTGCAGCGGTGCGACGGAGATCTTGTCCGACGAAAACTTGAAGTAGCCATACGTCGACGCGATCCCGCCCGCTGTCACATGCGTCATCGCCGAGGGACTTCCACTGCTTCGTTGCGGTGCCATCGACCGCTGCACTCACGCTTGACTTCTGCCAACACCACCGTCGACGGACTTGAGCACTCCAATTTGCCTCGTGCCCGCGCTTCCACTGATTTGATCACCTCCGTCGACCACCTCTTCAACACCAGCGTCGTTACGCACCAGTCAAGAAGAGGCAGACACACTGTCCGCTCCAGGTTCGGGAGGGTGTTCCGCTGCCCCCTTTGCACGGATCCCAAGGAGAACCACCTCCAAGGGGAGCACCGTCCCGAACTCGCCTTCTCCATGGCGTCTCGTCGCATCAGCCAGACGTGCTTCTAAAGTATCCTCTACCCCGCCAGCCTCTGCCACGATAGGCACCATAGTTCATACGGGCTTCCTGCCTACGAACGACTTAGGTAAGTGATAAGTAAGTTCCTATCTAAAGGTATCTTTGCAGGACCGTCCACGCTCACCGCACCATGAGGAGAATAACTCTACAACGGTGGGAGCTAGACTACAGGGTTGGCACGAGTTGTTAGAGTGATCGTAGCTCTGTCTGTGTTCTCTAGGACTTGTGTTTTCACAGGGCAAAACAGCAAGAGTTTCACAAAGGAATGTTGAGAATACAGAGTTCAGAATGATAACAAGCAATGGCAAAGATTGATTACATCACATGCAAGGTTTGATAGTGCTCAGGCAGGTCGACTGCCAGCATGACAGAGTTGTCGACCTGCCAACGCAGCACCTCCGCGGCCCGCCAACGCAGCTTGTGTGCGACTTGCCAGCACTGCAGAATGGTGGCCTGCCAACGCTGCACCTGCGCGGTTTGCCAACGCTGCCTCCACGCGGATTGCCAACACTGCATCCACAGGTGATTGTAAGCGCATGTGCAAGTACCTACTTCGCAGGTGCTTGTAGACAGTTACACACAACGTATACTATAGAGCACATTGCGCAGGTGCCAGGTTGGCCACATGCAGACGGTTGCACCTAACTAGCCACATTGACCACGCGCTGCCACGCCGGTTGATTTTGCCACGGAAACCTTGACGACGTTCACGATCCTCCATAGAACCTCGTCGAGCAAGTAACTCGGTCAACCAGTTAAAGTCCCTGGCAACCCTGCAGAAAGATGACCTTTGTCATCATTGGTTGAGAACCTTCGTCGTCGCGGGTTGACGACCTTCGTCGTCGCGGGGCGACGACCTTCGTCGACCACCTCAGTCGACATTCCAAAATGTCAGCTCCTCATTGGTCGAAATTAGGGCACATTCGAATTTCTGGCCTAAATTCGCTTGTGCAGTCGCGACGCGACCCTGCGCAGATGAACACCCGCGAACCTCTGCACCAGCTGCGCCACTTGCATATGTGCACGGGACGTCTGTGATGCACTCGCGGATGCTTCAGCTACTCTTGCATGGATTCCCTAGTACACCTCGTGTACAGACAACCCTTGTACACATGCAGAAGGTCGGCTACACCTCTCGCACACCCGACCTCGAAGCTGGTTTTGCCCATGCGAGGGCAGGGCCAACTTCCTTCAACACGTCCCCTTTCAAATCTTGAACACTCCACTTCGTCAAGTTTTAAAGCTTGACCCGCGCGCGGCCGCATGCTTTAATCTGCTTCGCTGCCAATAGATCTCCACACATGTAGAACCGTGGAGGTTAAGCATGGTAAATGTATGCTTCACAATTGTACCGGGCTTTGATTGCGCGCTAGCGTGAAAGGTATTACAAATACATGATTGTTACGATTCTAGACTAGCAAGCGATGACAGCTTGACAGTTCAGGAAAAAAAAAAACTCGACTGGTCTAAAAATCAAAGTAGCACATATGAGTTTGTTTTAAAAACCAGACTTGAAAATTTAGAAAGTAAAGCAACTAAGACAAAGCCTTGAAAACATGTCTACATTGCGAAGATTCATTCTACAACAGTGGGAGCTAGAATACGGATTAGGGCACGATTGTATAAGTGATCGTATCGTTCCTTAGCGTTCTCTAGCACTTGCGCCTTTACAGAGCAATTTGGAAGAGTGTCAATATGGAAAGTTGCATCATAGAATGATAGCAATAGCAAAGGCAACGATTACTACATTAGAGCCTAGCAACCTAGCAATTGAGTTGGTCGACCGCCAGCGCAGCACGGTCGACAATCTGCCCGCGTTGCGTTGAGGCACCGCTCCAGCGTTGCAGAAAGGTGACCTGCCAACAGACCAAGTTCGCAGCTTGCCAATGTTGCACTATGGCGGAGTGCCAACGCTGCACTATGGCGGCGTGCCAACGCTGCAAAAGTGCGGTCTGTCAGCGTTGCACCCGCAGGTTATAGTAGCACAGATGTGCACCTACTTCGTAGGTGCGCATCGATGAGAGCATGTTCTCTACTGTTGCGCAGGTGCCAAGTCGGCCACATGCCGACGGTTGCGCCTGCTCCACGTCGACCTCAAGATACCAGCCCGAGGTCGCCTTCGCCATCATAGCCTCGACGAGCCTTGCGTGACTCTGTAGAACCTCATCAGGAGGTTCATAGTCCGGAGAGTCACTCTACAACGGTAGTGAGCTAGACCACGGGGGTTGGCACAAACTACTAGGAGTGATCGTAGCTTTGCTTAGTTCCTTAATGCTTGTACATTCACAGGAGAAATCGGCAAGAGTTTCCACTAGCAAAGTCGAAATGACAGAATGATTAAACAAACAATGACAGAAATGACAATATTAGGCACCTAGCAACCCTGCAGCTAGCCTGGTCGACCGCCGGCACAGCTTGGTCGACCGCCTGCCAGCGTTGCGTAAAGGAGCTGCGCCAGCACTGCAGAAGGGCGACCTACCTGCAGAGCATGTCGACGGCGTGCCAACGCTGCAGGAGAGCGGCTGTCCAGCGTTGCCCCACAGAAGACAGCAGTGAGCACGCTCGCAGGTGCGCGCAGACGATTGTCCCGACTTGCATTGCTGTGCATCCGTCGGCTGGTGTCTGTGCCTGACGAGCCACATCGAATTCGGGATACCAGCCCGATGTCGCCTTCGTCACCGCGACCTCGACGACATTCGCGTGCCTCCGCAGAACTCGCCGAGCAGGTTACCTGGTCGACTTGGTCCACCACCAGGTGCTCTGGTCGACCATCGGGTGCTCTGGTCGACCACCAGGTGCCTCTGGTCAACCACGGCTCCCGTCGAGCTACCCCCTGGTCAACGGACCTCTCCGTCGACCAGAAATATCAGTTGTTGTCG